GAGGGAGAAGCAGGCTTCCCGCCGAGCAGGGAGCCCGATGTGGGGCTCGATCCCAGGACCCTGGGATCATGACCTGAGCCAAAGGCAGACTCTTAACGGCTGAGCCACCCAGGCGCCCCCAGGTGGCTTTCTTATATACAGCATATAGTTGGGTGGTTTTTTTGTTTTGTTTTGTTTTCACTCTATTGATCTTTGCCTTTTAATTGTTATATTGAGATCATTCACACTTGGAGTATTTGTGTAGTTGGATTAATATCTACATGTTTTTACTCATTATTCTTGTCTTTGATCCTACTTTTTCTTCTTTTCTTTTTCTGCCTTTTATGGTTTTAATTGAACATTTTATGACCCCATTTTATCTTCTCCCCTAGCATATGAATTATGTTTCTTTTAAAACATTTTTAGTGGCTTTCCCTAGAGGTTGCAATATATATTTACAACTAGTCATATCTGTTAGTTATTTATTTACTTATTTATTTTTACTTTGCTTGATACCATTTATTTTCTTCATATCCATGTTTTCAAATTACACTATCTTGCTTCATGGGAGATGCATGCATCTTATAACGGAATGTCACAAACTTCTCCCTCCTGTCTTTATCAACATTTCTGTTGTCATTTTGCTAATCCAAATGCTCTCATCACATAGTTGTTATTATTACTTTGAACAAACAGCTATCTCTTAGATCATTTGAGAATGGGAAATTAGTGAGAACTCCAAAAGCTAGCTTTTGTTTGTATAGATTATATCAATTGATATTTGCCATATTAGGAATTAAAACCTTGAGCACTTAAATATTTATTTGTTCATTAATAAAAATAATGAACTCATTACCTGCTAATATAAATGACATATTTTATGAAAAATAACTGTGTTTTCTAAAAGAAAGTAAATTAGTAAGAAGATTAGCAATGCTTTATATTTTCACAGATCTCTTTAATAGTTGGCTCAGTATTCTCAGTTGGAATAGACAGCTGGATTCTCCTATCAGCTCTGCATTCAATCTTTTGTGATACCAGAGAACATGTATTCCCTGGGGAATTCCGCTATACATGTGTGACAGGACAAGAGAGAAAAAGGGTTAATAGTATCTTAGTACTATTATGAAAACTGTTTCGACCCTGGTCATACCTGAAAGGGTCTTACATAATCCCAGGGGTCCCTGGACCATACTTTGAGAATCACTATTTTAAAATAATTTTTGAGGGGCACCTGTGTGGCTCACTCAGTTGAGCTTCTGCCTTGGCTCAGGTCATGATCTCAGGGTCCTGGGAAGGAGCCCCGCATCGGGCTCTCCGTTCAGTGGTGAGTCTGTTTCTCCTTCTCCCTCTGTGATCTCTCTCTCTCAAATAAATAAATAAAATCTTCTAAAAATTTTTAAAAAATAATTTTTGAGATGTGCTTTTGTTTTCAAATAAAATTTATGGGTTTTAGACATCACTATTTTAACGGGTTTTGGTGATGCCTTCCACTTCTTTTATAACAAAATTTTGCTGGTTTTGTTTTCTTAATTAACTTTGATTTCTTAATTCTTTTATTGTAGTACATCATCAAATAATTTGTCCTAGAGAGTGTGTCAGTAAGAATGGAGTAGATTATTCTATTGCAACAATGATTCCAAAATCTCAGTGGGTCACTGGCCTCTGCTTCAGGGAATCCTCACCTTGGATTCTGTCTTTGGCTGATGAGTAGCTGCCATCTGAAATGACATCTGAAGTGACAGCCACTGTAAGAGAGGAGAAGTGAGCATGGCTAATCGGGGGTTAGCTTGGAATTCTGCCAAAGTGATACCTATCAGTCCAAGGAGGCAGGGAGATGCGATCTTACCTTTGCCCAGAAGTAAAGAACATGGCATTGAAAATTGTGTGACCGGGACGCCTGGGTGGCTCAGTCGGTTAAGCATCTGCCTTCAGCTCAGGTCATGATCCCAGGGTCCTGGGATCGAGCCCCGTGTTGGGCTCCCTGCTCAGCGGGGAGCCTGCTTCTCCCTCTTGTCCTTCCCTCCCCTTGTTCCTTCTCTCAAATAAATAAATGAAATCTTAAAAAAAAAAAATGAAAATTGTGTGACCAACACAGATGGTGCAAGAGTGAACTATTTTCTGAGCCCTTGCACAGCTATTTGTTTTAATTGAAGTTTGGTTGACACACGATATTACATTAGTTTCAGGTGTGCATTATGCTCTGCTCAGCACAGTGCACCTTGCACAAGTTAGCTTGCCTTCACACAGGAATAACTGAACAGGATGTATATTTTTTAGTCATTTCCTTTTACCTTTGAATCTATAGATTTGCATAACTGTTTTAGACATTTATGGTTTCAAGTTTAGTTGGTTGGTCCCCCTCCCCCTTTTTTACCCGCTATGTTCTGGGAAAATGCTCTTCTTATTTACAACCATTTTAACTAACCTTTTTTTCTTTTCTTTTTTAATTTTAGCAACCATTTTAAATTTCCAGGCCTGCTGTCTTATTATCTGATCTTTTCTTCATGTCATCCTGGACAAAATATATTCTCCTATCCATACAACAATATACTTGTTTTTTGGAAACTCTTTTCTGTCTCCAGCACTATTTCTATGTATGCTGGGGTAATTTTTGTTCTTTGCTCATCTGGGTTCCACTCCTTCCTGTGATAGGTTTGCACAAATGCGTGTGGCCTCTTGTTTGTTCCTACTTAAGGGCGAGGCACTAAAGAGCTAGTTTTCAACTCCATTTAATGAGAAGGGCTTGAAAACCTGTGGTCTTGGCTGCGTGAATCCCAAATGCCTGAGGGTGAAGGCCTTTTTTTTTTTCCTGAGTCATCTGTATTTTTCTTAAGAAGCAGCCTCTAGTCTCTTGCCTGAATGCGGGTGCGCTGCATGGGGGCGTCAGAGGGGAGCAGATCATTTAGTATTTTGCCTTTCAATTAATCCTGCTGGCTTACGCTTGCATCTCCCTCCCAGGCCCCACTGCCTCTCAGGGACTGCAGGACATACTGGACCCTTTCCTCGCCCCTGGGATCCTGGGCCACCAGCGATAGCAGTTAGCACTGGGACCGCTTTTGCTCTTTCAGACTTTGGTTTCAATTTCTCACCTAACTCCCTTCCCTCAGTTATAGTGCCTTTAATTCCTTTACTCTCATTTTAGGGAGCCCTCTAGTCTGAGGGGAGCAAAGCACTTGTCTTGGGTCAGCTATCTTTAGCCAGAAGTCTTTTTCTTTTTTAAAGGAATTCAGGGAAGGAATGGGTTTCATTCTGTTCTAATCCATATGTATAATGGGAAGTCCCAGTGACCCTCTTAATATGGGATAGAAAAATCTTACAAGTGTTTACACCTTTTAGAATTACAGTGAAGTTTATCAAGACATTATCAGCCAGGGGAATCATTTATCGAGTAAGAATCAGAATTACAGGGCGCCTGGGTGGCTCAGTCGTTAAGTGTCTGCCTTCGGCTCAGGTCATGATCCCAGGGTCCTGGGATCGAGTCCCGCATCGGGCTCCCCGCTCGGCGGGAAGCCTGCTTCTCCCTCTCCCACTCCCCCTGCTTGTGTTCCTGCTCTCGCTCTCTCTCTCTCTCTGTCAAATAAATAAATAAAATCTAAAAAAAAAAAATCAGAATTACAAAGCTTTTTGCATTTAAAAATTACTTTTCCCAGGCTTGACCATAATGTTTGGAATCCAGGGGTCTTACAGGTCTCCACGTATAGATAACACTTATATGGGCAAGTTTAGATACAGAACAACGAGTCATACTTTTGAATATACACACAAGTCTGTATATTAGACCGGAGAAAAACACATATTCTTGTGACTGAATTGAAACCTTACGGGAGGGGCATCTTTGACCTAACTTTACCATGTGGGATGCGATTCTTGCCCCTGCAGTTGCAGACGGGTGCGAGAGATCTACCTCTTGTACACCTTCCTTGAGATTTCTTCTATTTGTTGTTCACTAAGGAGATTTGCTGCTCAATTGTTCTATACACTCACACACATGTCTTATTCAAGCTTCCCCAAATCCTATAAATGGATACTATTACTACTCCTGTGTCACATCAGGCAACTGAATCTCAGAAAGTTGGCCAAGGTTAGTGCAAGTGAGAAGCACAGCCAGGATTTGTCCTCAAGATAATCTGCATCCAGAGCGGCACTTGCCTTTATGCAGGCTCATTATGAAATATGGGCAAATGGAACAGGCTTTTGCAAAACTATTCCTTACCGTACTTGTTTATGACACCACACAGTGGGGTCAATGAACACTCTGGAATAACCAAGAATGATCTTGCTCTGTCTAATAGAGGCAAACAGATTAGGGAACATGTTAGACAGGAGAAGGTGAGGCAGAGTTCTTAGAGGTGATACCCAAGCTATTCTTGAAGAAGAGTAGGATTTTTTTCTAGGTAGAGAATATTTAGTTTAGAATTCTGCGTACAGGATACTGTGCAGCAGAATAGCATTCATTACGTGGTTTCATCTAAGTCCGTGATTTTGAGAGAGAGAGAGAACATGAGCGGAGGGAGGAGCAGAAGGAGAGGGACAAGTAGACCCCACACTAAGCCTGGAGCTTGACGTGGGGCTCGATCTCACCACCCGAAGATTATGATCTTAGTCGAAATCGAGAGTTGGCCGCTTAACCGACTGAGCCGCCCAGGTGCCCCAACTGTCAGTAATTTGAATCATGTAATATACAATGGAATCTCAAGAAACACACCAGACAGAACAGGATAAAGGGAAAGAACCCTGAGGCACAGTTCGAGAGACCTTTTCTGCCTTGATGCCGGTTCATATGTGCCACATGTATTCTTTTAACTGCAGAAAATACTTCCTAATATAGGCAAAAACAAAATTAAGTGACTTTACAACCATAGTGACTGAAATTTTGAGGTATGACAATACTTACGGTCTACAAAGGTATAGAGAAAAACTCTCGGGAAATCTTGGCAGGACCGTAAACTAATCAATCATTTTGAAAAAGAACTTAGCAACTTGAAAGTTTGAAGGTAGTATACCTAATTACTCTACAATTCACTTCTGGGTACATAAGCTAAAGAAATTCTTGTTATGGTCCCACATCGGGCTCCCTGCTCAGCAGGGAGTCTGCTTCTCCCTCTG